AATTTTTATCTGGCCTCATTTTGTCCCAGAAAAAGCTTACATTTGATCTTTGCAAATCTGTTCCATAGAAATCTGATACACAAGCTCTCGGTCATTTGCAAGAGCGTTTGAAGACTTAATTGCACTGGAAAACATTTTTTTTCGATATTGCTATCAAGATTGAGCCATAACCCAGAGCAAATAGGCTGGTCAAATTTCCTAAAAATAACCAAAAAAAAACAACCAAAAAAAAAACCAAAAAAATAACCCTTTGAAGCCTAAATAAAAAAAATTTCTACCTCAATCCATCACTAGCAGTTTGAAACTAAGTTTTGATAAGATCAATTGCTTTTTTGAGGCAGGTCTAGGTTTAATCTAGACGAAACATCGTTTCGAGTGAGTGGAACTTGTATTTGAAAATTAGCGTCAAGTAAATTTTGCTTGCAAGCTTAGGAGTAAAAAAACATGGTTCTAAACATCTTTAATTCTCACAACTGATCGTCACACTCTTTCTTATATCTTTTCCTAAATGTCTCTATCAGATGTCAAGGTCAAAAATCTCACATTCTTCCGGGCCTCACTCGGGTTGTAGTAACCAGAATGTAAATTTTTTATGAATGTTTATTAGACATTGCCTGATTTTTACTATCAAAGACTTTTTCATCCTTGAAAGAGTTTTTAAAATAATAAACGTTTAAATAACTTAGTGAACGGGTTTTTTTCTGCCTTTTTGAATTTTGTAAAGTTTAACAGCTATAAATCTTTCTTTTTTCTGTTGCTTCTTCCACGCGGCTCCTAGTTTTTTTTTGGTGTTCGGAATCAGATACGTCCATGCATGCGTAATTTGGGTGAAGTTCTACTTGTACTCGGTGCTGTTGTGTCGCTACGTTTCAATAACCATTAAAAGTTTAAAAGTGTGCAGTACCTCATTACATCTAATAAGGCATCTCCATTCTTGCATCTCCATTCTGTATCTTTCCATTTTTTATGTTATTACTGCCACATAAACCTTTAAAGGCATTCGGAACATTCAGGGCTTCGCCCTGATACGAGCAGCCTTGTTTATCTTCGTCACAATCATAATGGGTGACTCAATTATCTTGTGGCGCAGTTTTGGTAGGTTTTAAGAGATGCTGGTTGTTTTGAGAAAGGAGAGAAACATAAGAAATTTTGTTTACAAAACAAGACAAGGATGCTCGTATCAGGGCAAAGCCCTGAAAATTCCGACTGCCTTTTAACGTTTATGGAGCAGTAATAACATAAACAACATAAAAAAATTAAATGAAATATAATCATAAAACGAAAAACTTTTCTAAAATTTGAAAATTTTTCTATGAAAATCATCACCCACCCCACACGCCATATAAAGTACAAATAAGCTTCTTTCAACCCAATTTGGAACGCTTTCTGAGACGGACTAAATCTCCGCTTACGCGTTAATAGCGCGAATTATATCGCGCGTTAATTGTCCCAAATTGGTCAAAATGGCAATCTTTAAACCCTCATAACTTTACGAAAAATAATCACAGGTGAAATATCTTTTCAAATTTAAGCTCAGGTCAACAATAGCTTTCGAATTATGTAAAAAAAAAATTCGTCAAAAATGGCTAGTTAAGAAGTCGAAATTTGTCTGAAGAAAAAAATACCCACCCTGAGCACAAATATTCCGTTACTTTCGTATCGAAAGTCGGAACAAAAAGTCATGAGAATAAAAAACCTGAGAAAAGCTTCGAAAAATATGTTTTTCCTTTTTTTTTCATTTGTGTAAACTTATGAGTGCAACAAAAGTGCTGGAGTTGTTCGATTTTTGATTTTTGGTTTTGTGCTTGGAATGACGTGATTTTTAATTTTTCAAATTTTGTTTTTTTTTTGTCCAAAATGGAAGGTTCTTTTTGTCCTAGAAGATGGAGATTATGTTGTGTTTTGTGTACCGGGGTGTAAATCAAAGGCTGGGTTAACTGAGATCTAAACACTCGAGGGAAGTGACTATACATTTTTCCAATCCATTTTATAGGGTGAGGTGCAAGATTGTAAACTTTTATATCTATCAGCTACGCTAAATGAAAAACCGAAAAACTGTGGGTAGTTATATGTTGGTGATCGTATATTACTAGTGGAAGTTTTTGAAAAAAGAAAAATTCCTGATGGTTGAAGTTTTTCTGAGCTTAAAAACACCGGCTCGTCTTGATTAAGTTTGATTCTCCACAATGGTAGGGTCTGATTTTCTAATAACGGGTTCCAGTGTATAGTGGCGCAGGTTAAATGAATTATCTCTGATTTGAGCTGATGTTGGTGACGTTTTTACTAAATCATTTGGTTTTGAGTATGGTAGTGAGTTAATGAAGGGTCTTTGATCATTTGTTACTGGTTAGGAGATATTAATTGTTATGTGTTATCCTGATATTCTTGGGGTGATTTATTGTTCCGATTTTTGAAGAAAACGGAATATTTATGCTCGGTGTGGTTTTTTTTAATCAGTCAAATTTCGCCGATCGAAACAATAACTTTCAACAAAATTTTCATATACTCCATTGAAGACATTGACTTCCTGAGTTCAAATTTCAAAAAAATATATTTTACTTTAGATTTTTCATGCGAAATTTTATGGGTTTAATTGCCAAATTGGACATATTCTGGACTAAATTATGTGCGCTTTGAAGAGTTTATCCATAATGCTGAGAGCGTAACGCAAATTATTTATTCGTGGCGATTTATGGTCCCAAATTGAATTGAGGCTAGCAAATTCGTGGTATTAGTTTCGTACCACTCAAAAATGCACACTTTGATATTATCAAAAATTATAGGTTTTCAATAATTTTCCCCAAAAATTATTCGATATGAATTAAGGGACAGTTGGAACATTCAGGGCTCTGCCCTGATATACAAGCAGTCTTGTTTGTCCATGATATCTGAACAGAAACTATCTATTTTCTGGGGCCCAGGAAACTAGACGATGAACAAATTAGACGGATGCTTCAAAAACGAAATAAGACGAATTTTTTTACAGATCTGGCATTTCGGACGAAAAAGCTATGAAAAGATAAGGGCCAAAAAACAATTTTCTGAAGAGTCAAGTTTCACAAATACAAAAAGAACAAAATGACAATACTATCAAAACAATTACTTTAAATGCACATAAAATGCCAAATCCGAATATAACAAGAGAGTTTTAAATTGAATAAATTAAGCATGATTGACATGTAAGGTTTTTATACACTGAAATTCAACTGTTGTCTGCAAGCTATTTTAATTTTCTCACGCAACTTGTCTCCCTATTTTCTATCTAAATCTCACTTATTGTAACTTAGCGGTGACTGAGACTGTTTGAAAAACAGAAGATCGGTTGCTAAATTTCCTCCAGGCCTTTTTGAATTGCTAAATTCATACAGATAGCTAGCCAAGACTTCGACAATTTCCTACCGAAATTTTTTTTCAAAAGCTATGTATTAGTAACACTCTTTATAAAAGTGCTCAAGTATTTAAATTGCTTCCCACCTGCATTCAAATCAATTTAATAAAGAATCAAATTGCTACTAATAATTTTATCATCTTTTCAACTTTCGTAACGAAAGTAACGGAGTATTTGTGCTCGGGTGGTTTTTTTTTCTTCAGACAAGTTTCGACTTTTTAATTAGCCATTTTGACAATTTTTTTATCATTTAAAAGGTATTGTTATCTTGAGCCTAAATTAAAAAAAAATTATTTTGCCTGTGATTATTTTTTGTAAAGCTATGGGGGTTTATAGATTGCCATTTTGGGACAATTAACGCGCGATACATTTCGCGCTATTAACGCGTAAGCGGAGAGTTAATCCGTCTAAGAAAGCGTTCCAAATTGGGTTGAAAGAAGCTTGTTGGTCATAATTGGTTTGTTACAAGGAGCAAAATCTAACCTTTTGTACTTTATATTGCGTGTGGGGGGATGATTTTTATAAAAAAAAAAACTTCAAATTAAATTTTTTTTTTCATTTAGTTTTATTTCATTATATTTTTTAATGTAATTACTGCTCCATAAACCTTAAAAGGCAGTCGGAACATTCAGGGCTTCGACCTGATACGAGCAATCTTGTTGTTCCCACTTTCGATACGAAAGTAACGGAATATTCGTGCTCGGGGTGAGTTTTTTTTCTTCAGACAAATTTCGACTTTTTAACTAGCCATTTTTGACGGCGTTTTCTTATACCATTCGAAGGGTATTGATGTCTTGAGCTCAAATTAGAAAAGATATTTCACCTGTGATCATTTTTCGTAAAGTTACCGGGTTTAAAGATTGCCATTTTGGCCAATTTGGGACAATTAACGCGCGATATATTTCGCGCTATTAACGCGTAAGCGGAGAGTTAATCCTTCTTAGAAATCATTCCAAATTGGTTTAAAGAAGCTTGTTTGCCCTAATTGGTTTGTTACAAGGAGCTAAATCTAATCTTTTGTACTTTATATTGCGTGTGGGGGGATGATTTTTATAAAAAAAAACTTCAAATTGATTTTTTTATTATTTTGTTTTATTTCATTATATTTTTTAATGTAGTTACTGCTCCATAAACCTTAAAAGGCAGTCGGAACATTCAGGGCTTCGACCTGATACGAGCAGTCTTAATTGAACTTAGATTATAATTTCCGATGTGCCAGGCTGTGAAATAGACATTGTTATAGAAATGGTGCAATTTTTTTTTGTTCAAGTTCAAACAAAATTTGATTCTTTGAAATTTTTTCAACATGCGACCATAGCATATGGCAGACGCGAAACTTTTTTTTCAAAAGATGAAAGTCGCATCTGTAAAAAATGAACATCGGTTGTTAACAATTAAACAAGAGAGTGAATGCTAATAAAGAGAACAAAGCAGAGGAACTCATATAAAAAGTTAGATTTCCAAATTTCTCAAACTTACCAAACTCTGAATATCTATCATTTTAAAAACTCAATCCCTTCAAAAACAATTGGCTGATGAGCAAAACATGATAACTCTGCTCACATTGATCAGTTTGCTTTCTGTGCTGCCAAAATGTCGGACAAAAGAATGTATGAACGTTCCAGCTGGACTAAACCGAATGGCAATGGGCGTTGACATAACTACCCTTGATTTGGAACCTCTGGACTTCACTGAACCCGATGGTTTTGCCGGCAGAATCATTGATTTCACTTGTGACGAAGGAAAAGTCTGGAAACACCCATACACTGGCACAACTTATCAAGTTCCAGATCAAATTGGAAGCATTGCTAGTGTGCCTGGAAGCTGGCTCAATGCAGAGACACATGTTTACAGAACTAAATCGGACGTAATCAAGAAACTTTCCGCTCGTGTAGGTATCAAGGCAAAATCTTTCTTCGGTTCTTTTTCGGGGAGTGCGAGCTATAAATCAATCCGGCGAATGATTAATGAGCAATCTCTCTGTGTGACTGACGTCTCGTCTTTTGTTTCAACTTGCCAGGCTGTGTTTTCACCGGCACAAGTTCTTGGCTTAAATCAGGACGCTATGATTCTCTACAATTTTCTTCCGAGCCAGTTTGAAGAATCACCTGAGCCTTATTACGATTTCATCAAAAATTACGGAACACACTTTCTTTTTAAAGGTGAATTCGGCGGATACATTAGCGTGATGTATCTAACAGACAGTACTTACTATTCTTCTCACACTACTAGGGATATTGAAGCTAATGCAAAAGCCTCCTTTTTTGGCTTTTTGAAATCAAAAGGTGGCTATAGCGATTCAGTTACTACAGTTGACCGCGAGTTCACTCAGTATAGCTCCACCCGAATCATTCTGCACGGAGGTAACACTGCATTACTGCAGACGGGAGATTTGCCTCAATGGGATTCGTCTGTTCCCCAGAATCCTTGGATGTTTGCTGGTTCTCTGATTCCCATATACAACTTGTTTCCCAACTCGACAAAAAGAAACTCAATGGAGAGAGCTGTACAAGCCCATCTCGACAAATCATTCATTAATGACGTCTTCTCAACACTCGAAGATGCTTCACTGAAGTATAAACAGACCGATACTAGCCTTCTACGCTCTGTAATTGAGGAAGGTGAAGCCTTACTAGATGCAGTGATACCCAACCATGAACAAGTGATTATCTTCGGAGAGAGAGCTGATCACCATTTTGTTATTCCTGATTGGTGGGCTGAGACTGAAATTTGCTTTAAGCCCAGAGATGCAACTACAAGTATGGGTAGTTGCCAAGAGAGCAGCGGCCCATTTTGCGCCCCATCTAATGCATACACCTACCGATATATTGACTATTCCTACGACTCTTTGCGATCGTGTCAAATGAGCTGGGCACTGTTTACGCCAGCATATGCAGATAATTGGTTCCAAAAAGCGGAAATTTGTTTCAAGTTTGAGACAACTGGAGATGGAAGGCAATGTGGGAATCCAGACCAGCCGTCTGTAAATTGTGCACCAATTAACTCATATACGACTGAATATCTGGATGCAACGAGTCCACTACATGGTGGTTGTCAACTTTCGTGGATGCTCAAAGTTTCCGAGCACGAAGCACCGTTTTGGTTCATGAAAACTAAGTTTTGTCTTAGTTATACAACAGGTACTAATACAGGCGCTTGTGGTGGCACTGGAAATGACAATCCGTTATGTGCTTCACCAAACAAATGGACAAAATATTACTATGATGATACCGTGAAGTACGGTTCATCGTACCGCTGGGGTTGTCAACTTAAGTGGGGTCTCTTTAATTTTCCGTACTAAAGACGCAATAATATTCAAACCATCCATTGAGCTATAATTATTTGATGAATCGTGATCATATTTTGGGTTACTTCGAGTAAAAATTAAGAGATTGGATATCTGAGATAGAACAACAGTGATGTCTTTCTTAAATAATTGGCTTTCTCTATGTGCAGTTGTGCAAAATTCTAAAGGTTGAAGTTTCAAATATCAGTTGTATAATTTCATATAAACAAAAATAATTGAGGTTTCTGCGATTCGCAGAGGATCTATGAAAGGCTATGCATCCTGTCTAAACAGTCCGTTTCTCTTATTTACCCACATTCCATTTGAATATTTTCGTATATTTTGGTGAAGTTTAAACAGGAGAAATCATAGGCAGGAACAAATCTAAGATTTTCTCGAAGAGGGTGCAAATTTTTAAAATTTTTGTTGAGCTTTATTATTATGTTTGAAACTTATCAAATTTATTTTATTTAGAGTAATTTTTCGAGGAAAATGTTTCGTTGGAACTAACAACGAAAGGCAACAGAGCCTCACTGACTTAAAACAAAACGACCAATTCAAAGATCAATGCCAACTGATCAATGCCATTCGCAGAGGATCTATGAAAGGCTATGCATCCTGTCTAAACAGTCCGTTTCTCTTATTTACCCACATTTCATTTGAATATTTTCGTATACTTTGGTGAATTTTAAACAGGAGAACTCATAAGCAGGAACAGATTTAAGATTTTCTCGAAGAGGGTGCAAATTTTTGAAATTTTTGTTGACCTTTTATATTATGTTTAAAAGTTATCAAATTTGTTTTATCTGGAGTAATTTTTCGAGGAAAATGTTTCGTTGGAGCTAACAACGAAAAACAACAGAGCCTCACTGACTTAAAACAAAACGACCACTTCAAAGATCAATGCCAACTGATCAATGCCATTCGCAGAGGATCTATGAAAGGTTATGCATCCTGTCTAAACAGTCTGTTTCTCTTATTTACCAATATTCCATTTGAATTTTTTCGTATACTTTGGTGAATTTTAAACAGGAGAACTCATAAGCAGGAACAAATTTAAGATTTTCCCGAAGAGGGTGCAAATTTTTAAAAATTTTGTTGACCTTTATTATTATGTTGAAAACTTATCAAATTTATTTATCGAGGAATTTTTCGAGGAATTGGGTAATTTTTCGAGGAAAGTGTTTCGTTGGAGGTAACAACGAAAGGCAACAGAGCCTAACTGACTTAAAACAAAACGACCACTTCAAAGATCAATGCCAACATATCAATGCCATTCGCAGAGGATCTATGAAAGGCTATGCATCCTGTCTAAACAGTCCGTTTCTCTTATTTACCACATTCCATTTGAATATTTTCGTATACTTTGGTAATTTTAAACAGGAGAACTCATAGGCAGGAACAAATCTAAGGTTTTCCCGAAGAGGGTGTAAATTTTTGAAATTTATGTTGACCTTTTATATTATGTTTAAAAGTTATCAAATTGGTTTTATCTGGAGTAACTTTTCGAGGAAAATGTTTCGTTAGAGCTAACAACAAAAAACAACAGAGCCTCACTGACTTAAAACAAAACGACCACTTCAAAGATCAATGCCAACTGATCAGTGCCATTCGCAGAGGATCTATGAAAGGTTATGCATCCTGTCTAAACAGTCTGTTTCTCTTATTTACCCATATTCCATTTGAATTTTTTCGTATACTTTGGTGAATTTTAAACAGGAGAAATCATAAGCAGGAACAAATTTAAGATTTTCTCGAAGAGGGTGCAAATTTTTAAAAATTTTGTTGACCTTTATGATTATGTTTAAAACTTATCAAATTTATTTTATTTAGAGTATTTTCGAGGAAAATGTTTCAATGGAGCTAACAACGAAAGACAACAGAGCCTCAATGACTTAAAACGAAACGACCACTTCAAAGATCAATGCCAACTGATCAATGCCATTCGTAGAGGATCTATGAGAGGCTATGCATCCTGTATAAACAGTCCGTTTCTCTTATTTACCCATATTCCATTTAAATGTTTTCGTGTACTTTGGTGAATTTTAAACAGGAGAACTCATAGGTAGGAACAAATCTAAGATTTTCTCGAAGAGGGTGCAAATTTTTAAACTTTTTGTTGACCTTTATTATTATTTTTAAAACTTATCAAATTTATTTTAGTTAGGGTAACTTTTCGAGGAAATGTTTCGTTGGAGCTAACAACGAAAGGCAACAGAGCCTAACTGACTTAAAACAAAACGACCACTTCAAAGATCAATGCCAACTGATCAATGCCATTCGCAGATGATCTATGAAAGGCTATGCATCCTGTCTAAACAGTCCGTTTCTCTTATTTACCCACATTCCATTTGAATATTTTCGTATATTTTGGTGAATTTTAAACAGGAGAACTCATAGGCGGGAACAAATCTAAGATTTTCTCGAAGAGGGTGCAAATTTTTAAAATTTTTGTTGAGCTTTATTATTATTTTTAAAACTTATCAAATTTCTTTTATTTAGAGTAATTTTTCGAGGAAAATGTTTCGTTGGAGCTAACAACGAAAGGCAACAGAGCCTCACTGACTTAAAACAAAACGACCAGTTCAAATATCAATGCCAACTGATCAATGTCATTCGCAGAGGATCTATGAAAGGTTATGCATCCTGTCTAAACAGTCCGTTTCTCTTATTTACCCATACTCCATTTAAATATTTTCGTATACTTTGGTGAGTTTTAAACAGGAGAACTTATAAGCAGGAACAAATTTAAGATTTTTTCGAAGAGGGTGCAAATTTTTAAAAATTTTGTTGACCTTTATTATTATGATTAAAACTTATCAAATTTATTTTAGTTAGGGTAACTTTTCGAGGAAAGTGTTTCGTTGGAGCTAACAACAAAAGGCAACAGAGCCTAACTGACTTAAAAAAAAGGACCGTTTCAAAGATCAATGCCAACTGATCAATGCCATTCGCAGAGGATCTATGAAAGGCTATGCATCCTGTCTAAACAGTCCGTTTCTCTTATTTACCCATATTCCATTTAAATATTTTCGTATACTTTGGTGAGTTTTAAACAAGAGAACTTATAAGCAGGAACAAATTTAAGATTTTTTCGAAGAGGGTGCAAATTTTTAAAAATTTTGTTGACCTTTATTATTATGATTAAAACTTATCAAATTTATTTTAGTTAGGGTAACTTTTCGAGGAAAGTGTTTCGTTGGAGCTAACAATAAAAGGCAACAGAGCCTAACTGACTTAAAAAAAAGGACCGTTTCAAAGATCAATGCCAACTGATCAATGCCATTCGCAGAGGATCTATGAAAGGCTATGCATCCTGTCTAAACAGTCCGTTTCTCTTATTTACCCACATTCCATTTGAATATTTTCGTATACTTTGGTGAGTTTTAAACAGGAGAACTTATAAGCAGGAACAAATTTAAGATTTTCTCGAAGAGGGTGCAAATTTTTAAAAACTTTGTTGACCTTTATTATTATGTTTAAAACTTATCAAATTTATTTTAGTTAGGGTAATTTTTCGAGGAAAGTGTTTCGTTGGAGCTAACAACGAAAGGCAACAGAGCCTAACTGACTTAAAACAAAAGGACTACTTCAAAGATCAATGTCAACATATCAATGCCAATCGCAGAGGATCTATGAAAGGCTATGCATCCTGTCTAAACAGTCCGTTTCTCTTATTTACCCACATTCCATTTGAATATTTTCGTATACTTTGGTGAATTTTAAACAGGAGAACTCATAGGCAGGAACAAATCTAAAATTTTCCCGAAGAGGGTGCAAATTTTTGAAATTTTTGTTGACCTTTTATATTATGTTTAAAAATTATCAAATTTGTTTTATCTGGAGTAATTTTTCGAGGAAAATGTTTCGTTGGAGCTAACAACGAAAAACAACAGAGCCTCACTGACTTAAAACGAAACGACCACTTCAAAGATCAATGCCAACTGATCAATGCCATTCGCAGAGGATCTATGAAAGGTTATGCATCCTGTCTAAACAGTCTGTTTCTCTTATTTACCCATATCCCATTTGAATATTTTCGTAGACTTTGGTGAATTTTAAACAGGAGAACTCATAAGCAGGAACAAATTTAAGATTTTCTCGAAGAGGGTGCAAACTTTTAAAAATTTTGTTGACCTTTATTATTATGTTTAAAACTTATCAAATTTATTTTAGTTAGGGTAATTTTTCGAGGGAAGTGTTTCGTTGGAGCTAACAACGAAAGGCAACAGAGCCTAACTGACTTAAAACAAAAGGACCACTTCAAAGATCAATGCCAACATATCAATGCCAATCGCAGAGGATCTATGAAAGGCTATGCATCCTGTCTAAACAGTCCGTTTCTCTTATTTACCCACATTCCATTTGAATATTTTCGTATACTTTGGTGAATTTTAAACAGGAGAACTCATAGGCAGGAACAAATCGAAAGTTTTCCCGAAGAGGGTGCAAATTTTTAAATTTTTGTTGACCTTTTATATTATGTTTAAAAGTTATCAAATTTGTTTTATCTGGAGTAATTTTTCGAGGAAAATGTTTCGTTGGAGCTAACAACGAAAAACAACAGACCTCACTGATTTAAAACGAAACGACCACTTCAAAGATCAATGCCAACATATCAATGCCAATCGCAGAGGATCTATGAAAGGCTATGCATCCTGTCTAAACAGTCCGTTTCTCTTATTTACCCACATTCC